GTACATTTATTTATTGATTTCATGGTACACTTATTTATTGATTTCATGATACTTTTATTTATTTCATGGTACATTTATTTATTCTAATATGTATTAATTTATCTCATGATGTATTTATTTAATTTTGTCACATTCCACACTCCATGTGGTGGAGGTCATGATAAATTTGCTAAGACTTCAAAGGTTAAGCTGTACACCAATGTCCCCCTTCACTGAGGGATTTGAATAGTAAATGTTTGTAGTTTTTACAATCAGTGTATTTCTGGACTGGAAATGAACAAGGAATGCAAGTAAACCTTAATGTTTTTGTTACACGATATCCAAGCAGGCAGGAGTTACAGTGTGTAGAAGAACAGAGGTAGTTTTTTTTTTATACTTTGTTTGTTCGAGGAGGCGCAGAGTGACAGATCTTGGTGAGCGATGGGAGCAATGTTATCCACCACCAGGTGCAATGGCAGAGCCAGGGGGTGGCTAATGGTGCCCTTGGCCTCCACAGATAAATATTTGGCCACGCAAATCTCTTCACAAAACTATACTTTTAATCAAAAAGGTTCATTGAAATGTGTCCGAAGACTCATTTGACTTTTTCTGACACATGCAGATATGATCAAAAACATTATCATTGTTCCTCATCCAGTAATGTGCAATAATGATAGTAGATCAACTTAAACATCCTTAAACTAAACGTTGCAATAGCAAGTGATGCACAGTGAGGAAAAATTGGGATTAAAATGTGATAAGACAAAAACCTTTCATCCTTGTCTCTTACCTTCTTCAGCTCTCCTCGGCTCATGTTGCGTATGTGTAGTTTAGTCCAGTATTTGTCCAGCAGTGCCGCACGGGTGTTCAGAGGTGTGTGCCAGCTGCTACCACTGTGGTACATCCTACACAAACACAACAATCAGTTATTCCTGTCTGACAACAAAAAGCCACAACATTCACTAAATACATGATATTTTCTGGTAAACCTGCAGTGAGTGCTAAATAAAGCTAAAACCGAGTAGTTAATTTGTTAAAAACTTCTAAGCATTAGCTAAAGCATAAAATTTGCAGAACAGTAAGGAATCAACTAAAATTAGCTAAAGAGTAGCTTAAAGCTAAATTATAAGGTAAGATAGAACTTTATTGATCCCACAGAAAATTATTGTGCCAGAGTTTCAGTACAAAGGAACATACACATGAACCACAAGATGTACAGACAACAGAGAATATAAAAAATGCCAACAATTAAGTTTTAAACAGGTTCTACAAATGCAAACAATTAAGTTATCCAACTAGAAGTTAAAATTAACAACACAGTAGTAAAGAGCTAAAATTAATTTAAAAAAAGCTAAAAGTAGCATAAAAAGACGTGAATAGAACAGATATGCTGCAGAACACTTCAGAGAACAATACACTGAAGAGATCTTAAGGGTTTTCTTTGAGACGTTTTATGTTAATAAATAAGGATATTTTGAAAAGTACAAAAATTACCATAGCTCACTATTCTTGTCATGGTTAGCCCAACAATTCAACTGATTATTTAACATGAAAAACTAAATATTGAGAACAAATAAGCATTCAAAAATATCTATATTCAAAGGAAATTATTGTTTTTAAGTAGGAATTAGGAAAATATGATAGAGAGTATGTTCATGTTGAAGATATTGATTCGGTGCAATTTTATATACATTTTTGTTGTATAATCAAAACTGTCCTCAAGTAAAACTTGGACAAAAAGCTAAAAACTTAAGAAAACCATATATAAGAAAAGGTTTGGAAAAAGCCTGTAATAAAAAAAACAAATGGGAATGGGAATGTATATAGTATTGAACAAAGGGGAAAAAAGTATTATGGTAATATATAAATGTTTAACAGCTATTATAAGATAACAGAAACAAGAGCACCACATACAGAACATTATACACCCATGAACAAACCAACACACAGCTTTACAGAAATCTTGATTTGTGACCGTAGAGCTGAGGTGATGAAGAGTAAACACAACACTCGATCTATTGATGATGAAGTTTCATGAAATTATTTTGAGCGGCTCAGAGGCTATGGGTTAAATTTTGGTCATAAACTAAGCGATAAAGATATATAGATACTGTAAAATGTGTTTTTTAATAACATCATTTCTGTGTTTCCTGGATGGGTTTGTGTTTTTGATTCACCTTCTGGTTGCAAAGAACTGAAATCCAGGAGCGATGTCAATGCAGTCCTCCCGTCCTGGAATCACCAACTTTTTGTTTTCCATCAAAGGCAGAAGCACAGATATCTGAAGCAAAAGAAAACTCAGATTGTTGTTTGTGACATTAAGGAGCTCAAATTCAAAACATTTTGAAAGAAAAGTTGCAACTCACCACATCCAAAGGTGCATGGTCGATGTCTTCTAAGAGGATCCACTGTCCTCTGGAGACAGCTTGTGTAAGTGTTCCTGGCTGCCACACAAACTTCCCTGGTATATCAGTACAGCGGTACATTCCTAACAGCATCTGCAAACCAACAACATGAAAATGTTCACACTGTGACCAGCCACTGATTTACAGTGGCACTAAAACGGCAGCACACCAATGTCCAAGATACTCCAGAAGGTAGGAGTTGCACTGTGTAGAACAGAAGTAGGGTTTATTGTGTTTCCACTTGTCCGAGGCGGCGCAGAGTGGCAGATCTAGACGAGTATTGGGAGCAATTTAATCCACCACCAGGTGCAATGGAGGAGCCAGGGGGTGGCCAATGGTGGCCTCAGCCACCGTAGAATAATAATCTTAGGCCACGCCAATCATTTGAGGAAACTGTACCTTTAAGCAATATAAAAACTAGGAAGCACAGCGTCCTCAAATGATAGGGATGTCTGGTATACATGCGCACATGGCGGTCACCAGCTTGGATTTTTGGATGGGGGATAATAAACTACTGTGGTAAAGGCCAGGCACTTCTTCATGTAATGTATATCGCTCTACAACTTTCATGCACAGGTTTTAGACTTAGATCATCTTCTGTTGAGAAAATATAACGTTACAACATTTCTCAGTTCTTGGGAATAATGTTACACATGAAGTAAAATGTGGTAAAGGTGAAGAAGAGAGCCCAGGCAGGATGGAGTGGATGGAGAAAAGTTTCAGGAGTGATTTGTGACAAAAACGTGTCAGCAAAGGTCAAAGGAAAAGTTTACAAGACAGTTGTGAGACCAGCTATGTTGTATGGTCTGGAGACAGAGACATGGACAAAAAGACAGGAGACAGAACTGGAAGTGACAGAAATGAACACGTTGAGGTTCTCCTTAGGAGTGACAAGGATGGATAAAATTAGGAATGAGATCATCAGAGGTACAGCACAGGTTGAACAACTGGGAGATAAAGTTAGAGACACCAGACTGAGATGGTTTGGACATGTCCAGAGGAAGGACAGTGGGTATATTGGTAGAAGGATGTTAGAAATGCAGCTGCCAGGAAAAAGACAAAGAGGAGATATATGGATGCAGTTAGAGAGGACATGGAGGTAGTTGGAGTGAGGACAGAGGATGTAGAGGACAGAGATGGAGGAGCTGTGGCAACCCCTGAAGAGGGAAAAGCTGGAAGAAGAAGAACAAAAACAAGAACGAGAACCAAAAGAAGAAGAAGAAGAATGCATCATCCTCGAATGGTTAGTGTTCAGAGTTGTTGGTCTTTAGGCTGATACCCTCTGCGAGGTCGCCACAGCAAGCAAACTCACACAGGAGACTTGACAATTGTTTTACTGCGAGATGTCCTTCCTGATGCAACCTGGACTCAAACCTGCAGACCGGAGCACTGACCACCGAGCTACCAGTACCCAGTTGTTAGTTCTCAGAGCAAGTGTTGCAAATGACTACGACTCTAATGCACAATTTTAGCTTAATTTTTGTAAATTAAGCTACGTTAAAGCCATATTTGTGTTGGCTAAGGTGGCCATCTTTATTTGAGTTGACTACAAAAATTACACATTTGTAGACGTACAACTAAAGACTGCTTATTGAAAGAATCAATTAAATCTGTCCAGTGGTCGATAGGGTAGTTTGATAAACAGATAAATACATAAAAACAGGCAAAAACATAATCACATGCACTTTTTCTTTTAGAGGTGGGCAATAACACATGTACATCAAACCCAAAAGAATTGAGGCTGCAAATGGTGAGTCTCACAAACTGGTCTATCTTCTAAAAGCCCACGTGGTTTTTATGTCTCACCTTGCTGTCAGTCTGATCTCCAAGCTGGACCTTGAGAAACTGTGTCGCTGTTGTGTGCCCAGTGATCGCAGCCATATACTCTACCAAGGCGGTTTTGCCACATCCAATTGGACCCTCTAGGAGCACAGGGTTCTGGGAGGCCACAGCCAGAGCCAGGCTCCTAAGATTATGGCACGTTGAGTCCACTAGAACCAGATCCAATGGGTCCACCTAGAAAGTCAGATCAACATTACAAAAGAAAACCCAAAAAACAGAAGACAAGGTTTGGTGTGACTGAGAATAAATACCCGTTCAGACTGTCTGGGAAATGTTCTGGGAAGTACAACACCACAGACAGCTACAACGTTTGGGGACAGGTCCTCAGGAAACACCTGACCTCTGGTCAGTTTATGACTGCCATCCTGGCGCCACATCACTGCGCTCTGATTGGTTAACACCAGGGCCTTCTCTGACTCCATCTGCTCACTTTCCTTAAAAAAACTAAACAACCACAAAAACAAACATCATGGCAAAAAGCTTGATTTCAGAGGTCCCACAGCATGAAACTAACTTTACCAAAAAACATTTACAGCGCCTTGCTAAAGTATTCGGCCCCTTGAACTTTTCAACCTTTTGCCACATTTCAGGCTTCAAACGTAAAGATATAACATTTAAATTTTTAGTGAAGAATCAACAACAAGTGGGACACAATCGTTAAGTGGAATGAAATTTATTGGATGTGTCAAACTTTTTTAACAAATAAAAAACTGAAAAGTGGGGCGTGCAATATTATTCAGCCCCTTTACTTTCAGTGCAGCAAACTCACTCCAGAAGTTCAGTGAGGATCTATGAATGATCCAATGTTGTCCCAAATGACTGATGATGATAAATAGAATCCACCTGTGTGTAATGAAGTCTCTGTATAAATGCACCTGCTCTGTGATAGTCTCAGGGTTCTGTTCAAAGCGCAGAGAGCATCATGAAGACCAAGGAACACACCAGGCAGGTCCGAGATACTGTTGTGGAGAAGTTTTAAGCTGGATAAGGATACAAAAATATTTCCCAAGCTTTAAACATCCCAACGAGCACTGTGCAAGCAATCATATTGAAATGGAAGGAGTATCAGACCACTGCAAATCTACCAAGACCCGGCCGTTCCTCTAAACTTTCATCTCTAACAAGGAGAAGACTGATCAGAGATGCAGCCAAGAGGCCCATGATCACTCTGGATGAACTGCAGAGATCTACAGCTGAGGTGGGAGAGTCTGTCCATAGGACAACAATCAGTCGTACACTGCACAAATCCGGCCTTTAGAAGAAAGCCATTTCTCAAAGATATCCATAAAAAGTGTTGTTTAAAGTTTGTCACAAGCACCTGGGAGACACGTGGAAGAAGGTGCTCTGGTCAGATGAAACCAAAATCGAACTGTTTGGACACAATGCAAAACGATATGTTTGGAGTAAATGCAACACAGCTCATCACCCTGAACACACCATCCCCACTGTCAAACATGGTGGTGGCAGCATCATGGTTTGGGACAGCTTTTTGTCAGCAGGGACAGGGAAGATGGTCAGAATTGATGGGGGGATGGATGGGGCCAAATACAGGACCATTCTGGAAGAAAACCTGTTTGAGTCTGCAAGAGACCTGAGACTGGGACGGAGATTTATCTTCAAACAAGACAATGATCCAAAACATAAAGACACATCTACAATGGAATGGTTCACAAATAAACATATCCAGGTGTTGGAATGGCCAAGTCAAAGTCCAGACCTGAATCCAATCAAGAATCTGTGGAAAGAGCTGAAGACTGCTGTTCACAAACGCTCTCCATCCGACCTCACTGAGCTCGAGCTGTTTTACAAGAAAGAATGGGCAAGAACTTCAGTGTCTCCATGTTCAACACTGATAGAGACAAACCCCAAGAGACTTGCAGCTGGAACTGCAGCAAAAGGCGGAGCTACAAAGTATTAATGCAAGGGGGCTGAATAATATTGCACGCCCCACTTTTCAGTTTTTTATTTGTTAAAAAAGTTTGACACATCCAATAAATTTCATTCCACTTCACGATTGTGTCCCACTTGTTGTCGATTCTTCACAAAAAATTAAAATTTTATGTCTTTATGTTTGAAACCTGAAATGTGTCAAAAAGTTGAAAAGTTCAAGGGGGCCGGATACAAGGCATACAAGAGATACAATGCATTGTATATCATGTCTAACTAATCATGTCATGACAGAGGACAAAACTGAAAGTAGAGAATTTTTTTTTTTTTTTTCTGTAAAGCTGCACTGAATTCCAAGTTTTAAATGATGTAGCTAAGATTTGCTGAATATGCTAAAACTAGGGATGCACGATATTATTGGCATGATATCGTTATCGGCCAATATTAACATTAAATTTCAATATCGGACATCGGCCATTCCATTAAAATAACTCGCCGATATAAAAGGCGCTGTTTTTACCTGCAGCAGCACAACGTGATGACGTTGCAGCGGCAGCGCAACACGATGACTTCACATGCGCCTACCTACTTCCACACCTCCGACATTTTGAATTTTCCTCTCCGCTGTAAGATCAGTTACACCGGAGAGGAAAATTCTAAATGTCTGAGGTGTGGAAGTTTTATGTTTCATTGGTGAGGATGTCGGATTCTGAAGATTTATGGACTACACTGAGCCTCGCTACATCGTCCCCAGTCTGAGATATTTTTCCAACATAACGTTACCCGAGTTACAAGCCGTCATTTCCGACATCATTGAGAAGCTAATAGCCGATAGAACGACTTGTTGGGTGAGTTTTACCACAGACATTTGGACATCATGTTAGCCTCGTTAGCATGATTAGTCTTACGGCACAAATGATAGACAAAAACTTTAAACTTTAAAAGGCTGTCCTTTATACACAGGAGTGCAGAGGATCCCACACTGCAGCTAAGAACCTGGAACAATTCCCCACAAGTGAGACAGCATCACAAGTGACTAATGCTAATAAATAACATTTAACGCTTTTCATTTAATATAAGTTAAAGTGCTATGTATATCATATGGCTGTTACTGAATATATGTCACCAGCTCTTACAGCTCTTGCACATTTTTTGTAGCAAATGAGCCTAAATAAGAGGATTATGTTCTGACAAAGGAACGCATATAAAATATCGGTATCAGCATCGGTTATCTGCCGAATAAGTTTTAACATATCGGCATATCAGATATCAGCCAGAAATCCAATATTGTGCATCCCTAGCTAAAACTGAGCTGAAAGCTAAAAGTAAAACAAAAAAACACAGCTAAAACTAAAAGTAGCACAAGCCTAGGTAAAAGAAGCCAAACCTAGCCAAAAGACTAGGTAAAAGTAGTACAAGGCTAGCTTAAAGCTAAAATAGAATGAAAGCTAGTAATACTAACAAAATGCTAGCTAAAGATAAACATAGAAAAATGCTAGTTAATAGTAACAGAAAAGGCCTAACAAGGTAAAAATAGAACAATTCAAGCTTAAAGCTAAAAGTAGCAAAACACTCAGTGTTTCCCCTAGTTATAGTTAACTTGTCATGGCGGGGTGCTCATCTCATCCATGATTTTTGTTGATGGGGGGGACGGAGACATGTCTGAGCACAGCTTGTACAAACAGTTTTTGAGCGGGGGCGGTCAGCATGAGGGAAGCGGCGCCTTTAGCTTTTTAGCTAGAGAGTCTGTATTTTGCGCCACTAGCTTACTGCTATTTCAGTACTGGGGGTGGGGTGCTCAGTTCCGTTGACGGGGTGGGGCACCCTGCTTGCATAATGTTAGGGGAAACACTGACACTAGTTAAAACTAGTAAAACGTACAAAATAGAAAGCTAAAAGTAGCAACAAAAACCTACATAACTTTTAAATAACTGAAATGCCAGCTATAAGCTAAAGGTAGCAAACATATGGTCAGCCTCCCAGCCAGCATAGCTAAAAAGCCACCTGGGTTTCAGCACTAAAATATTGCTCTCTCTTTCCACAGGTTCTTTTACTACCTTTACAAGTTGTATTCGACTACCTTTAGAAGTTTTGTAAGAACAGCTGTAAATAAAAGGCACATGTATTTTCTAATAGCCGAGGTCAGCTGCTCCTCAGCGGCGCAGTTGAAGTAAAATGACACAAAGTTAGATCAGCTGCTTTTACACATAAACACAACCACAAAGTTCTGACCCATCACACAAAACTTGGTGCAAAGCCCTGCAAGTAAAAAGTTCTGCCAGGAGATTTTGCACAGAAAAAGTTCTTGCAGTGCATGTGAGAACAAATTATGTTTTTTTATTTCATACAACCACGTCAACGTGAACAGATTTCTTAATGTCCTGTGGAGCATAAAATCTATCTTTAGGCTACACAGATTTCAATGGAGCCGCAGAGTCCAGAACGGTTTAGCTGCTTAGGATCAGCAGCTGAGACAGAGGAGCCACAGAGAACTGGAAGGTCCAAAAACTTTAGAGCTCCGGACAGGAGCGCAAGATTCAACCACAGCACAAGAAAAATACATTCCGACATCAGCTTGTCAATCCTGTGAGAACCAGAAATGTTTGCTACCAAGACCTGGATCATGACTCCACAGATGACAACACAAGTAAAACACAAATAAAGGTAAGTACTTACTTAGTTTTTATATGCAGGATTTCATCATTTGTCAGAACTTTCTTCAAGAAGATGGTTTTCTGATGATCAGTCATGCGACAGACGAGTGCTAAACACTGAGCAGTGTACCTGTTGGACACAGGGAGAAACACCGTGAGCAAAAACATCTGGAATCCTGTTCACCAGAAATGGTTCCAGGATTGTTGAGGAAACAAGTTAACATTTCGACATTAATGTCATTTCATCTGGGCGGCGCGGCACGGTCGCATCGCACTGAACAGTTCGTTCCAGTCGGCAGCCGTGCCCCGTCCCTCTGCCGCCAGAGCGGAGAGGAAGGGCGCAGTGAGGTGCAGTGAGGCGCAGTGAGGCGCAGTGAGGCGCAGTGAGGCGCAGTGAGGCGCAGTGAGGCGCAGTGAGGCGCAGTGAGGCGCGTGGTCTGCAGCCCGGGAGGTGGCGAGGTGCAGGCGGGGGAGCACTGTGGAGCTCGCATCAGGAGCCGCGGGCTGTGCAGCGCTCCTCCGCAGCCGGAGCGGTTCATGTTCGTGTCAGTATGAATGAACATTTAATGCGTCAGTCAAAAATTGCATCATGAAACGGAAAACAAACATATATAAGACTCTTCGGACAATATGTCGCAGGACTGGCCCAACTATGAAAAAAACAGTGACTTATAGTCCAGAAAATACGGTAATGTCATTCCACCTCATGTACCACATGTGGTGAAATGGCAATAAACCTACTTGAACGTGATGCACACATGAACATCATGATTCTTAAACGAGTGTGTGTTGGGGTGTGTGTGTGTGGGGGGGGGGGGGGGGGGAGTATTGGTTGCCCCTCCTCTTGTCCCACTTTTAATGCTGGGTGGTGGCTGTGTACT